ATTTACAGATTTAAAGTATTTGCAGAACGCTGTAAATCATTAATGCGACATATGTCTGGTTATAAAGGATGATTTACCCAGAGTGATCCGGGTTGGTGAAGGCCGCAGAGACATGTGCGTGCCTTAAAACGCGACAAGTTCATCTGATGGTGCGGTTTCGTGACTTGTTGAATTGTGCGTCATCAGACCAAGACGACCTGAGACGTTGATCCTAACATACATCGATGGCTTGCTGTCTCAGGGTATGTCACGCTCAGGCCGCCCTCATGGACTGGGACATTGCTGAGCGCGCGGCGTCAAACAACAAGGATATCGACACTGATGGTGGCACTGTCATACTTTAGTTGATTATTTGACAAACAGTTTTATATAAGGACCGCCTTTCGTGTGTGTGTGTGTGTGTGTGTGTGTGTGTGCGTGCGTGCGTATGTGTGTGCGTGCGTGCGTGCGTGTGTGTTCTCCATTCAGAAGAGTGAGTGAGTGAGTTTGGGTTTAACGCCGCTTTTAACAGTTTTCCAGTCATATCACGGCGTGTCAGCTTAATGTGGGAGGAAAGCCCGAAGTGATGCTGATCTCAGACGTTTACCACTTCGGTGAAACCCACGAGCACGGGTGTGGTGCTGACAAACCTAGAAACATAATCGGGGCGAACCGGGATTCGAACCCACAATCATAGGTTTCTGGCGTGCCCAAGGGACGCAACTCTGCACAGCGAATCGCGGCGCCTTAGACGACTGGGCCACCCGTGCCCCCCATTCAGAAGAACCAGAATAAGGGGACGCGGTGACGTCAATAGTTACTGCTGCCAATACCTCATAGCACAGTGTGGCATCACATGTGATCTGAACAGTATTAGATATATAAATCCCCGGGAGGACAGGTAAGTGAGTGAGTTTGGTTTTACGTCGTTTTTAGCAATATTTCAGCAATATCACGGCGGGGGAAATAGAAATAGGCTTCACACTGTACCCATGTCGTGAATCGAACCCGGGTCTTCGACGTGACGAGCGAACGATTTAACCACTAGGTTACCCAACCGCCCTGCATTCTTGTTGCACACAGGTGAGGTTGGGTGAGGTGATGTATAAATAACTATGTATAAATATGTATATATATATGTATAATTAAACCGCCATAAGCCCGATCTAATACAAGATATATATATATATATATATATATATATATATATATATATATATATATATATATATATTCTTCTTCAAATTGCATTTGTTCTTAAGGGAGGTAACTCTGAATGTTGTGGCTTTCTTCTGTGCCACGGCCCTGTGCCAGATGTCTGAGCGAAATCAACACTTTAAAGTTGGATGCTTGTATAAATGGGGTTGAAATGTTTTTCAAATAAGTAACAAGGAACCAATAAGTTATTATAGTGTTTACATAGACGCTCTACTTCTGTTTTCACTCACTTCAAAGATGTATACAAGATATGGATTAAACTGTTTTGTGTGTCATATTATTTATACCACTGGCTTTGAGGAGATAGTTGTGTCTTTATAGGGAGAGTGTGTTGGGAGGTCTCCACTTGAGACGTCCACATTGGAAATTCCAAATAACACTTTTAGAGATTCTTATTATAATGACACAGTATCACACAAGATGATGTTACAACATTTATTGAACTAAACTAAGAACCGCACCACACACAACATAAACAGCCTATCTGTACAGCATTTTCATATATTCCTGATATACTCGGTAACACACAGTCATCAGAGCAGATAGGAGAATAACAGATTTATGATAGAAATGGTCAATACATAGTAACAGTCGCTGTTACATCATAGGTGCAGCGTTAGTCTTTGTGGTAGAATATGGTAGATGACAACGCTGCGCGATTGTAGTTCAACAGAGGTTGCAGCCACTCGTGAAGTTGTTTGACACTTATATGAAAGTCAGCTATCTACATACAGTACAGAACAAATACAACCACACTCAGTGTCAGACACGTCTCTTGTAGAAGTTGGCACAAGTAATTCTATCACAGTGATGCCCAGGGCGATGTCCGGAGACAATCAGTCATAAATAAATAAAACACATATCAAGTAATGTCCTGCGCTGGAGAGTTCATCAGTCGTTCAAGCCTTGGCCATTTCCTCATCATCCTGTTTGCCCTTGACCTTGGCGGTGAAAGCCACGTAGTTGAACATGCCCTTGGAAATAGGGGCCTCCTTCCACGTCTGTTTGATCTCCTCCTTCGTGAAGTTATCTCCCATGTTCTCCAGGAGATCCTTGATGTACTCCTCGGGCAGCACGCCCTTGCCCTCCTCGTCAAACATGGCGAAGGCGCTACGGATTGTCTCCTCGCCGTCCGTCCCTCCCATCTTCTCCCCAAACAGGTTGAGGAAGGTGGTGAAATTCAGGGGCCCCTTGGCCTCCTTCAGCATCTCCTTCAGCTCGGAGTCGGCGGGCACTTTGCCCAGGTTGCCGTAGATACTCTTCAGGTCGTCTATTTCGATGACGCCGTCTCTGTTGACGTCGATGAGGGTGAAGGCTTCCTTGAACTCCTGCACCTGAGACTGACGGAACATCGAGAACACGTTCTGGGGCGCCATTGAATTGCTGGATGAAGGAGCTGTGGGAAGACGACGTCAGGCTTCTAAACAAGATGGAAGTGAGAATGATTGGAATGAGGAATTGCTGTAGATTTATGTCTAAAATCCACATCACGTGACGTCCGTTAAGCAGTATCACGTTACCAAGTGCTGTACCAGACAGTTTCCTGCTTCGGGGACGTCACGTGGTCTCGTGTCTGTAACCCGGAATGACATAGCGGGAATCTGCACTCGCACTTTTACGCAATGAGATTACGTTTCTTAATGCATGGATCCCTGCTGCTATGACCGGCACCAGTAACACTAGTGGATTTCAGGCGGTTTCTAATTTAGTAACGGACGTATTTTCGTTTGTTCTGAATTCGTATTTTCGCTTTCTCCATAGTCGTTATATTGTATTTCAAATGTTTTCACGTACAGTAAACTACGGTTATAACGAACTCAAAGGGACCGCTTATTTTAGTTCGTTATAACCGTAGTTCGTTATAAGCATATATACAACAAATGGCCGGGACTAAAAAATAAGTTCGTTATATCGGTCAGTTCGTTATAAGCGTGTTCGTTATAACCGTAGTTTACTGTTTTTCTATTTTTCGATTCGTATATGTACTGCATACGTCATAATGTTTCAATAACGCGGTTATCGTCGAAATGAACGCATTCCTGTAACAGAGGTAAATGTTGCACAATATAGTATTACGATAAATCCAGGAATTTGAACGGACAGATTTAAATGTTCGTGTCATGATAAATGACCTATAACCCTCACACTCTGTGGATAGTTGGAGTTGGGCGGTTTTTTTAACCTACAGGTGCCACGCAGTGAATGTAGCCTCAGAGGGTGGCAGTACAGTTATTTTTTGTCGATGAGGTCAGAAGATATATTGTTATTCTGGAACAGTATAAAAGGACCGAAAATAAATCAGACCATGAATAAAAAATATAATGGCTGCATGAATACAAATATTTCTGCAAAGCTAAAGGTTACTTCTAATGGGCATTCACGATTATGGCAATCGTTTGATAATTTTGACAAAAATATTTTAAATAGGGTTTTTCAGAACGAAATATACCGGTTAATTGTAAACAATTCTTCATAACATGTTAATGACGTTAATGTGTCAGTAATGATCCCTGCAAAGGTACGCTAAAGATGTGAGTGAGTAGTGTTTCACGCCGCAGTAGCAATATTACGGAAACACTCAAACCTCTGTCATCACACATTGTACCCATGTGGGCAATCGATCCTGGGCCTTCAGTGGGACGAGCGAACCCATTAACAGCTTGGCTTATCGCCTCTCCCACCAACTATGTGGATTTCGAGTTTTTTACAATTCACATTTTAATGTAAATAAGCTTCTGCATGGCTTGTCTGCATCATATAAATACGGCGGATGTGTGTCACCAGCAGTTGGGGATGTATAACTACTGGTACTTGCAGATGCCGGTATTATATTTTAAAAGACTGTGTTATCCAAGGAACATATATGGAGGTTTGATATTGAATCAAGTTTATATACATCTGGTTGTATAATCGACCGGTGTAGCAGGGTCAAATCAATCCCTTAGGAATTCACTCTAGAGTTCATTCAGCCTAGGCACAGATTATTCCCCTCTACGAGGCCCAAAACACGCTCTCAAGGCTCAGGTCACTCATTTCTATAAAGTCCAAAACACTCACTCAATGATCAGGTCTCTCGCCTCTACTGGGCCCAAAACACACTTTCAAGTCTCAGATCACTCGCCTGTACTGGGCCCAAGACATTCCCTCAAGGCTCAAGTCACTCGCCTCTACTGGGCCCAAGACATTCCCTCAAGGCTCAAGTCACTCGCCTCTACTGGGCCCAAGACATTCCCTCAAGGCTCAAGTCACTCGCCTCTACTGGGCCCAAGACATTCCCTCAAGGCTCAAGTCACTCGCCTCTACTGGGCCCAAGACATTCCCTCAAGGCTCAAGTCACTCGCCTGTACTGGGCCCAAGACATTCCCTCAAGGCTCAAGTCACTCGCCTCTACTGGGCCCAAGACATTCCCTCAAGGCTCAAGTCACTCGCCTCTACTGGGCCCAAGACATTCCCTCAAGGCTCAAGTCACTCGCCTCTACTGGGCCCAAGACATTCCCTCAAGGCTCAAGTCACTCGCCTGTACTGGGCCCAAGACATTCCCTCAAGGCTCAAGTCACTCGCCTGTACTGGGCCCAAGACATTCCCTCAAGGCTCAAGTCACTCGCCTGTACTGGGCCCAAAACACACTGTCAAGGCTCAGGTCACTCGCCTCCACAAGGCCCAAAACACTCACTCAAGGCTCAAGTCACTCGCCTGTACTGGGCCCAAGACATTCCCTCAAGGCTCAAGTCACTCGCCTGTACTGGGCCCAAAACACACTGTCAAGGCTCAGGTCACTCGCCTCCACAAGGCCCAAAACACTCACTCAAGGCTCAAGTCACTCGCCTGTACTGGTCCCAAAAACACACTCTCAAGGGTCAGATCACTCATCTCCACAAGGCCCAAGACATTCAATCAAGGGTCAGGTCACTCGCCTCTACTGGGCCCAAAATACACTCTCAAGGCTCAGGTCCCTCGCCTCTACTGGTCCCAAGACATTCCCTCAAGGATCAAGTCACTCGCCTCTACTGGTCCCAAAAACACACTCTCAAGGGTCAGATCACTCATCTCCACAAGGCCCAAGACATTCAATCAAGGGTCAGGTCCCTCGCCTGTACTGGGCCCAAAATACACTCTCAAGGCTCAGGTCACTCGCCTCTACTTAGACCAAAACACTCACTCAAGGCTCAGGTCACTCGCCTCTACTTAGACCAAAACACTCACTCAAGGCTCAGGTCACTCGCCTCTACTTAGACCAAAACACTCACTCAAGGCTCAGCCCCAAAAACTCACTCAATACTCAGATCACCAACCCCGACCCTTCAATCCCCGATATTTGTACCGTCTTCTACTTCTCCTGTTCAGTTTTGGCATACATTTTGAAGCTTTCCGATGTTCATGTGACCTTCTTAACAGAAATAGTAGTAGCTGATTGTTGATTTGTAGGCATACATATAGACAGCATATTGTTTTGCATGAAATGATGTGTATATTTACTGTTGAATTAACAGTCGGTCGTTTTAATTATACCGGGATGATGGGTCAGATATCTAAAATCATAGGATGTTATTATGAACACTGTGTTTTCTTTACATAACATACACGTGTGTAAAGTAAACAATAGGTCATAACGGTTGAATTTAATCAACGTATCAATGACAGCTGTTATAACTCTGTCAACTGTCAATTGCAAAAACACATTGAACAGGACACCGACAACATTGTACGTCAACTACATCAATAACATAGCAAGGTAACAGTGTACGGATTCCAAATTGAACCATATCGCATCCTAACAACTCAGATATACCTCCTCCCGCCATAATCCACCCCACCACACGCCACCCTCCTCTCCCAAACGACTGGTGTCATCACTGATTTTCAGTGATCCATTTATATCATTTTCATCGCCTTTTTGCCTCTAACTCCCAATGGAATTTATTTTGGCGAACAACCAAGACTGGTTATGATCTTGCGTTGACGTGGAATATTTAGAATATGAGACGGAACATGCATGGAGCTCAGTAAGTGATACTGAAACGAACACAAGCAGGTTTTCAGAGATCACCGGTCGCAGTATTTTCTGATTCCTGCCAAGTTCCTCCCACGTGGCATCTAGCTGTTTGTACATGCAATATTACAACATGTACTTAGCTTCAATATTGATCATCTGAAACCGCAAGAACCCCGTGACGGCGGGGCTCCACTCTGCTGGTGTAAAGCCATTATACCTATCAGGTAACTACTGCACCATGGGGCCTCTAACCCACGACCGTCACGATGTGGATCGAACGAGGTAGCGGTAACCGGGTGGGGGGGGGGGGGGGGGGGGGGGGGACGGGGTGGGTGTGGCCGATATTAATTGTGGCCAATAATTTGACAAGAGAATGTCACGTGATAGAAGATTCTGGGTATAAAATATTTGGAAAGGTTATCCAGATCATTCAGATCTCTCAATCATCCTGAACCTTTAAGTTCTAGACTTACTCCACCAGCAATGGCTCCCCAGAACGTGTTCTCGATGTTCCGTCAGTCTCAGGTGCAAGAGTTCAAGGAAGCCTTCACCCTCATCGACGTCAACAGAGACGGCGTCATCGAAATAGACGACCTGAAGAGCATCTACGGCAACCTGGGCAAAGTGCCCGCCGACTCCGAGCTGAAGGAGATGCTGAAGGAGGCCAAGGGGCCCCTGAACTTCACCACCTTCCTCAACCTGTTCGGGGAGAAGATGGGAGGGACGGACGGCGAGGAGACCATCCGTAGCGCCTTCGCCATGTTTGACGAGGAGGGCAAGGGCGTGCTGCCCGAGGAGTACATCAAGGATCTCCTGGAGAACATGGGAGATAACTTCACGAAGGAGGAGATCAAACAGACGTGGAAGGAGGCCCCTATTTCCAAGGGCATGTTCAACTACGTGGCTTTCACCGCCAAGGTCAAGGGCAAACAGGATGAAGAGGAAATGGCCAAGGCTTAAACGACTGAAGAATTCTCAAATGCAGGACATTACTTGATATATGTTTTATTTATTTATGACTGATTGTCTCCGGACATCGCCCTGGGCATCACTGTGATAGAATGACTTGTGCCAACTTCTACAAGAGACGTGTCTGACACTGAGTGTGGTTGTATTTGTTCTGTCCTGTATGTAGATAGCTGACTTTCATATAAGTGTCAAACAACTTCACGAGTGGCTGCAACCTCTGTTGAACTACAATCACGCCTTGTTGTCATCTACCGTATTCTTCCACGAAGACTAATGCTACACCTTTGATGTAACAGCGATGTTACATGAGTTAACAGCACCTTGTAATTTGAACTGTGACTGTTTCAACTGAGTGGCAGACAAACCATTTCTGGAGGTCTATCATAAATCTGTTATTCTCCTATCTGCTCTGATGACTGTGTGTTACCGAGTATATCAGGAATATATGAAAATGCCGTACAGATAGGCTGTTTATGTTGTGTGTGGTGCGGTTCTTAGTTTAGTTCAATAAATGTTGTAACATCATCTTGTGTGATACTGTTTCATGTCTTAAACAACTTTCCGGCTGCAACCTCTGTTGAACTACAATCGCGCAGCGTTTACATCAATCGTATTCTGCCACCAAAAATATTAACACATTGGATGTTATAAGCTTACACCACCTTGTGATTTGAACTGTGACTACATTTTGACTAATTCGCGAACGAACAAGTGAGAAACTTTTCCTGCCATGTGTTGTATTTATAACTCTGATTGTCTTCGGACATCGCCCTGGGAATCCTGTTACAGAGAGTGACTTGTCATGACACCGTCTTCAACAGACACGGCGAACGTATTTATAGTAAACTATTAACGGATGTGATTCATCAGATGCCCCTGGGCCTTCAGTGGACCTTGGACACACCATGTTGTAATGTAATATCCTTATCCTGACTGAGTGTCTGTCAATGTTTTCCGAATGTATTGAAAATGTATAATATTGCTGTGCAGGTAGATTATTTAGGTAGTAGAACGTAGCATCTCACTTCAATAAATGTAGTACAATATGACATTTCGTGTGATTCTGGTTAGGAGAAAGATCTTCATCAACGTCTCTTTTCCTGTCTTACGAGTGGACTGCGGGTGGTAGGACTCGTTGACTTGGTTGATTGAACATCATCGTAAATCGATTGCACTGGACGTGGCTTCTATTGTCAATAAATGGATTGTATGGGCCACATTCGATTATTCAAAGCAAAGAAAAGGTTTAAACGCACTATTCAAGACTTTGTGACAAAGTCTCAATGTCAAATAAGGCACAAATCGTCTTGATGTACACTGACAATAATCACAGGTTGTAAAACAGCTGACAAGTCATGATCAGACCTTCCTTCCGTCATAGTGAATCGAAAATATAAATAACAACCTTTTTGCAAATTTTTATCTTTTAATATTTTGTGATACTTTCCTGATGATGACCCCAAAAGATTTTTTTTTTTTTAGTCTGAATGCCACAGTAAAATTAAATCTGGTATATACATATAATCAAATGTTCCATCCGACGCTGAAATGTAAATTTTCCGGTCATTGGGGAAGATGTAAAAGATTCATAGAACACTGAAATAATAAAAGAACATCTAAATAATTGCTTCATGACAAGTCGTATATTGAGATTCTGAAATTGAGGTATTTACAAAGTTCTAATGTTCAGGTTAATAGTGAAGAGATATGAAAAACTTCATTGCATGACATGCCTGACCACCGACATTATGTGACATGCTTGACCCCCGACATTGTGTGAGACGCTTGACAAACGACATTGCATGACATGCTTGACAAACTACATTGCATGACACGCTTGACAAACGACATTGCATGACATGCTTGACGAACTACATTGCATGATGTGCTTGACAAACAACATTGCATGACATGCTAGACATGCTTCACTACCGACAATGCATAACGTGCTTGTCAAACGACATTGCATGACATGCTTGACTATCAACATTGCATGACATGCTTGACTACCAACATTAAATGACTTGCTTCACAAACTGCATTGCATGACATGCTAGACATGCTTCACTGCCGAAAGTGCATAACGTGCTTGACAAACGACATTGCGTGACATGCTTGACTGCCAACATTGCATGACATGCTTGACATGCTTCACTACCGACAGTGCAGAACGTGCTTGACAAACTAAATTGCTCGACATGCTTGACTATCAACATTGCATGACATGCTAGACATGCTTCACTACCGACATTCCATGACATGCTTCACTACCGACATTGCATAACGTCCTTGACAAACTACATTGCATGACATGCTTGACAATCTACATTGCATGACGTGTTTGACTACCAACATTGCATGACATGCTAGACATGTTTCATTACCGACATCGCATAACGTGCTTGACAAACAACATTGCACGACATGTTTGATTATCAACATTGCATGACATGCTAGACGTGCTTCACTGCCGACAGTGCATAACGTGCTTGACAAACGACATTGCATGACATGTTTGACTATCAACATTGCATGACATGCTAGACATGCTTCACTGCCGACAGTGCATAACGTGCTTGACAAACGACATTGCATGACATGCTTGACTACCAACATTGCATGACATGCTTGACTACCAACATTGCATGACATGCTTGACATGCTTCACTACCCACATTGCATGACAGGTTTGACTAACGGTATTGCATGACATGCTTGACTAACGACATTATATATCATGCTTGACAACCGATATTGCGTGACATGCTTGACTACCGACATTACATGACATGACTCACGACATTGCACTAAAGAGCCTAGTTCAATGTGTGTCCAATTGTGTTTCTTGGTATTGTTGATGGGAAAACGTAGAAGGTTTTTCTCGCATCAGATCTGTTTTCAATGAAAATAAGATAGATGTGCGCGAGAATATTTTATAATTCTGTGTACCGTTATTTTGATGATGGGTACTGCCGGGTAAACATTATATGGACATCAGTGTTGTTTTAACCCGTGAAGATCCGACTTAGAATAGGTCTTCAGCAATCCATGCTTGTCGTAAGAGGCGACAACAGGATCGGGTGGTCAGGCTCGCTCACTTAGTTTATGCATGTCATCATATCCCATCACTGGATTGTCTGGTCCAGACTCGATTATTCACAGACTGCCGTCATATAGCTGGAATATTGCTGAGTATGGAGTTAAACAACAAACAAACTATGTACGGTATTGAACTGCAGGGTTTTTGATTGCCTGGCATCTGCGTCAATCGAACAGTGACAGTTCAACAACATGCCAAGATTTACAGAAGTGCAACGAAACAACGTCAGGCAAGGGGCGCTTGCAGGCAGGGGAATCCCGATCAGCTGTAGCTAGTCTCTTCAATGTAGCGCCCAGCACCATCACAAGGCTATGGGATCGGTTTCCACAACATGGGTCAATACGTGATCGGCCAAGATCGGGACGACCAAGAGAAACCACCCCCGCCCAACATCGCTACATCCGACTGCGCGACCTACGTGAAATGACGACCACAGCCACCTCAACCGCTTCCACAATACCCGGACTGCGCAGAATCTCCGACCAAACCGTACGAAACCGTTTAGGAGCAGCAGGTCGACGAGGCATATTGACTCGACAACATCGTCGACAACGATAATATTGGTGTCGTCAACACAGGGTATGGCCTCAACTGCGATGGAGAGATGTCTGGTTCAGCGACGAATCAAGATTTCTCCTCTATCGAGGGGATGGAAGAGCACGGGTCTACAGACGTCTTGGAGAATGTTACGCCAGAAACTGCGTACAGGAAGTGGACAGGTTTGGTGGGGGTAGCGTTATGATGTGGACTGCTATCTCTCATCATGACGGGACAGGTTTGATTCATATCCAGGGCAATCTTACGGCTCAACGATACATCAACGAAATTCTTCTACAACACGCCCTCCCAATTGCAGCCATCGGTAACGGTGTATTCCAGCAGGACAACACTCGACTGCATACAGCACGGATCACAAGAGCCTGTCTACACAACGACGTTGCTGTTCTCCCCTGGCCCTTCAGATCCCCGGATTTGGACCCGATAGAGCAGCTGTGGGATGAATTGGATAGACGGTTACGCCGACGTCAACCACAACCCCAGACGTTGCAGCAGTTGGCTTTTGCGTTGGAGGCCGAGTTGGCTACCATTCCCCAAGATGTGATTCGCATACTCGTCTCTTCAATGGACAAGAGATGTCAGGCCGCTATCGATTCCAACGGGGACATGCGCGTTATTGATGGTAGCTGACCTTCACCTTGGACTTTTGCTATGTACCAATAACTGAGATGACTGCAATCACCAAGTGTTCTCCCCACAACATTTTGGCTCAATACCTTGTACGGTTCCTCGTATAAATGTATTTTCCTACCTCACGCAAATCTGGCTTTGCGTTTCTTTTTCTTTCTTGAAGAGTATATTTTCAATTTAGTAAAAGAGTTGATTCATATAAATTTAAAAATGGCAGGTTATGTATATTTCATTTGTTATATTCAATGTTCACTGATTTAAAGGGGCACTGATCTAAAACAATTCCCCGGGACTTGTTGTTGCTTTTGTTATTGTTTTTCCCCTGCGAGTACCCGGATGTATAGCAGAAATCTAGACTAGTTCGCGACCTCTGCTGCGCCATTCGTAAGCGCATTAGTCACTTTTATCGGTAGTAATAAGGGCGTATGGTCACATTGATCAACAAAATGAAATACAGTTTCGAGATAATAAGGAAATGTAGGTATCTTTGTGGGTAGCATCGGTAATGGTGACGAAGTTTTGATAAGTCACTTGCTTGGTAATTTTGCGATTTTCGTTTACACTATTTTGACTTGCAACACAAAGTAAATATTTCACCTGAACATTGCTTTTTTTTATAGTGTGTATATTTTTTGACTGTCAAAATGTGTAACATTTTCAAATTTATTAAACGCCTAAATATTCAGTTATTTTACAAAGTGACTGAAAAACATTTCCATCTGTATTATTATGATAACGAATTCCAAACATTTTTATGTTTAATGTCATCACCAAGACACTGAAAATGTTACGTTGAAAAGTACATTTCTATGTTGTTTGGCTTCTAATCCTACATAATAATAATCTGTTGTGATGTTTTAGGCCCCTTTGATCGTCATAATCAATTTTAGTCAATCTGGACAGATTTTTCAGTCAAAATGACTGAAATATTTACACATTTTATAAATTGCCTGAGAGAATCACATTTTACAAATTGACGGTTTCACGCTTACAAAGGAAATGACTTGTGAAAACAACGTCTATCGCGCATTGAAGAATTTCCCAACCAAGACGTAGAGGAAGAAGAACGAATCGTTTCAATGCTACAGCAAATGAAGGAAAACAATATGCAAATACCATTATTACAACCTACCAAATGTGTATAAATTTTAGGCAGCTTCCTTGTTCGAGGAAATGTATCCGTGAATATCCACACAAAGGAACAATAGCCCACTCGTCTGCAGCTGTACAAAGAAACTTATTCGATGTCACGTGTCTCTGTTACAATCAAATATTTTAAAAGATATATAATTATCGTTTCGGGATATTATAACCCGTGTTCGTTTCTCAACTGATCACTTAGATTGTTTCAGGTGTTTCACATAGGTGTCAAGTCTCAGGGGTCGGCTGGGAAGGCCACGTGACAACTATTTTCATAACGTCCACGGTTCCTAAAAATCCATTGAGTGAAAGATAACAATTATCAATCAATCAACGTATTATCAGTTAACCCTTTGAACAAAGTATGTTGTTTTTACATCGGCACTTCACGCCACGATATGTGTGTATTCCCTTTGTTTTAGTAAACCTAGACATGCAAACACTCACTTTTGACATATCCACTGTGCAAGATAACAGTGATTAATCAATCAACGTATTTTCCGTTAATCCTTTGATGACTAGGAACGATCCGTTGATTTACAAAAAAAAGTAAATCAACTAATCATTCATCTCTTGCTGGGCTGCCACGTGCATATTACATAACACACATTTCACCTCACTTCAAACCTGGATTTAGATTGAATAATTACCCCAGACACAATAAATGCCAAATGGGAACCTTTGTCAGGTAATCTGAGTGATGCTACCACTAATTGTACCTGTAAAAAATTCATTAACTGAGCATCAAGTGAAAGACGACAAATACACAAGTGCAGGGTTATACCAGAAAACGTGGATGACAACAAGGGAGTAGTAATCGTATTATCGACGCAATCCGCAATTCACTGCATGGATACTTTTTTGTAATAATTGTATTATTAAACTATAACCAAACGAAATCTTTATAGATCAGAGTTAACCAATCAGTGTTCAAAAATGCGTAAAACAAATATTGCCTCCAGCCTCCAAGTTTATTTAGCTGTCCTTGCAGACGGTAGCCCAGTCTCTCGTCACGCTCAGTTGCGTTGCGTATCATCCGGGTACTCACGGGGAAAAAAACAATAACAAGGGCAACAACAAGTCCGGGGAACTGCGTTTGATCAGTGCCCCTTTAATTGTATCATATTTTATGGAGCGTTATTAACATGGGGGATTCGTTCGAAAATAAATATGTTTAAATCCATTAGAGAAGGATTTTAGGGAAATTCTCTGAATCCAAAACAACGCAACTATATTTTGTAGCGATACCTTACAAGACAACTATTTGTTTATACCATGTGTACACGCTTCACCCTTGTCTCGTCTCACACATTCCCTGACAATGCGTTTGTTTTAATCAACTATTCATATATATAGATGTATGTTCATATGAATAACATTTATTGATATCATGGATATAACGAAACCGATCTAATCAGGATCTCGGAAGATTCTCGGTCTTTTTTTACTCTTCTCCATGAGAATCTAACACACATATATACTTCTTCAAATGTGTCTATTTATCTGCTCTAAATGTCAGACAATTCACGATTGACAGACATGGTTATAATCTATATTTCCCTTATTCATGCTCATTAAAATTGTGATAATCTATGTGTAATGTTAAGTGCGTCCGCCTTTCGCCCAGATGTTCACAGATCACTGGGGGCTGCGCACCAGCAGATGTACACAGTGCTTATTACAGAAACATCGATGGACATCTGGCTGTATAGGTGGAGAGATGGGGTCTCGGTGGGGTATCAAGGGGGCTCGGAAATCCGTTATGACCATATCTATCAATAAAGAGACATCACGTACATCATGTACCAAGACTGTTATGTCCCAACTACAACCAACAACTAAGAACTTACTTCAAACAAGTGGGTAGGATTTAATTACAGATTGATGCTGGAGTTGTGAAGTGAATGTACGTTGTCCAGTGTAGTATATTATATTGTATACTACTATATCAACGTTGAATCAAACTTGTGTCATATTAACGTTTGTAATATATTGAAACGTATAAAGATGTTATTAATGTTGAGTGAGTCTTATTTATCGCCAGTGTACCGTTAAATTATGTACACCAAATAAAACAAATAACTGTAATCACACACAGCTGCAAACTACTGTTAGTTTATTCTTTTATCCTGGCGCTTATCGCTCAGCAACAAAAGTCAAACAATCGTGGCTCAGTCCATTTACATAAGCGGGGATGAAACTGAGTCCCAAATGCGCCTCTTGTGATTTGTGTAGGCAAATTGGGATGTTGGCACATTCGGATTTAAGATAATGACAATATACATGTCCAGGTTGATTAATCGTCTTTGCGCAAAACTGACGAATTCGGAAAGGGAACAGTTTTTTTCTTTTTAGTAGGCATTGAGGTTCAAACGAAAGTCACACCAAATAAGTATGACAAGAAATTTCACTAAAACCTGAGTTGAGAGCATAACCATTGCTAAGCCGAAATTTAGTTTGAACTTTATTTAAGCTTAATGTAAAGAAGGTGAAAGGGTTCAGCCCAAATAAATATCAGAGCATTATGAATCTTATGAATATGGGATAGTAGTCATTATTTACATTGTTCTATCCCAATATGAATGGGATAAAAGGTACGTTTATTTTGAATATATATATATATATATTTCGAGGGGAAAAGATGCTTTGGTAAGGGTGAAAATGAATTAACTTGCCTCTGCATGGGTTTGTGACGGGCGCCACCATTGTCGCAGGATATGCTCACCTATTTGCGAACACCAGATATCATCACGATTTTATAATGACACATTAACATATGCCTCTATACAGTCGGGTTGTACAACAGTGATTTCTAGTTATTATGGAAAGGGTCTGTCGCCTTTATTTATGAAAACCTGTTTATTGAAACACACACTGTCTACCATTGTTTACATCCCAGCACTGGACATACAACGTGTCAAATACAAAGACACCTTAATGATAAATGTACATATATGTAAATAACCCAAAGTGAGTTGTCTGTTGTCCAACATTACAGATGCTGATACCACTTAATGCACATCATCAGCACAGCAGGGAGGCAGGCATTGCAGCCGGATCTCATTGATCACACGCGCGCGTGCAGCTTCATGTAACGTGATATCCGACTATAGAGGAACCAGACGTCATGTGATCTCTCCCGTAAATGCTGATCTCTTGGTAACGTGATACGGCGTAACGGACGTCACGTGATGTAGCTTTTGGGTATATATCGACAAGAATTCTTCATTCCCAACCATTCTCACTTCCATCTTGTTTAGAAGCCTGACGTCGTCTTCCCACAGCTCCTTCATCCAGCAATGGCGCCCCAGAACGTGTTCTCGATGTTCCGTCAGTCTCAGGTGCAGGAGTTCAAGGAAGCCTTCACCCTCATCGACGTCAACAGAGACGGCGTCATCGAAATAGACGACCTGAAGAGCATCTACGGCAACCTGGGCAAAGTGCCCGCCGACTCCGAGCTGAAGGAGATGCTGAAGGAGGCCAAGGGGCCCCTGAACTTCACCACCTTCCTCAACCTGTTCGGGGAGAAGATGGGAGGGACGGACGGCGAGGAGACCATCCGTAGCGCCTTCGCCATGTTTGACGAGGAGGGCAAGGGCGTGCTGCCCGAGGAGTACATCAAGGATCTCCTGGAGAACATGGGAGATAACTTCACGAAGGAGGAGATCAAACAGACGTGGAAGGAGGCCCCTATTTCCAAGGGCATGTTCAACTACGTGGCCTTCACCGCCAAGGTCAAGGGCAAACAGGATGAAGAGGAAATGGCCAAGGCTTAAACGACTGATGTACGCTCCAGTGAAGGACATTACTTGATATGTGTTTTATTTATTTATGACTGATTGTCTCCAGACATCGCCCTGGGCAGTCAGGATGACGAAGACATGGCCAAGGCTTAACTTAACTAACTATATTTCTGCACAGTGACGTGCACATGACAATACATGATTAAGGACAATTCTGTGTTTCGTCATCCATTTGGGCGTCGTCATGTTCATTGTACTATACTTGTGTTATCTCAAGGCGAGGCGCAAACAAAACTCCAACAAGTCAAAAAGTTTCAGAAGTATTTCAAAACGTTTGAGAACACAACAACAATGCCTGAAGTCTCAGTTATATGATATTTTGGCATTGGTATGTTTGTCTTGAAAACGTTGGCTGTTATGCGAACCCTTTTCCAGTTATTCACATGTGAATAGGTCTGCCTCTCCATCTTCATGCACCGTGTTGTATTCACGATCGTGAATGTCATATGTAAGCTCTTGTCTTCAATGAGCTGAATAAATATCAACAGCGACAATGCTTTGTTTCCATTCTTGTTCCATTACTGATTTATAGAAGAGCTATCCACAGACTTCGCACTACACCGTCACCTCGTTAATCCGGACGGTGTCATTCACAGAATCATCACCCGGATAACGAGAGCTGGGTGAAGGGTAATGCACCTTATAAGGAGAGAGGGTGTAGACTGGTGAATGTTGCTGACATTATTCCTCGGTAGGTTCGGTGCAAGGAAGAGGTAGACAGCAAACTGTACTGGGGAGAAAGAAAAAGGCTTGCTAATATTATTTATGAAAAATTTACTTATTACACTCAGAGTTGTCCCCCATGCCCTGGAGTGTATATCAGGGAACGCATGTGACGGCTTTAAGTCTCTGTAGACGTCATCATTTCCGCATCCCTAGGGCAGCGTCTGACCAGGGGTCACAGTAAAGCAATGCCTCTGTATTCTTCTGTTTAAAGCAACCGATGGACTCTCATGTGAAGGACTTCTTTCTACCTGTTAAAGCTATGATTCTGATTCGCCTTGTTCTTTTGTCACACAAGAAGCGCTGCCCTTTAAGACATTGAGTAAGATTGAAAAATATTTATTCACTTTCGAGAATGTGTTTTGTACATATGTCACAACATATGCATCAGATGCTTCAATCAGCACTGTCGGGGAGAGACAGTGAGTGAGTAAGTGAGTTGGATTTTACGCCGCTTTTAGCAAATTTCCAGCAATATCACGGCGGAGGACACCAGAAATGGGCTTCACACATTGTACCCATGTCTTCGGCGTGACGAGCGAACGCTTTAACCACTAGGCTACCCGACCGCCCCTCGGGGAGAGACAGATGCTTCACATATGGTTGTGAGGTTTGTCGTGGTACAAGTATTGACCTCAAGTCTCATTAATGCTCTGTAATTGCAGTGTAAACGTAGTACTCTTTATGAAAAGTGATGTGCAATCTTTGTTTAATAAATAAATGTCGCAAATACATGACTTCCTGTGGGAATCTGTTTTAACATGGATGGAGTTACTTCCCTTGCTCTAGCAATGTTCGGTCTGTGACCAGTGTACACATCTTCATAGTGGCATGTTACAGTTCAAACTTAACATCTAAATGATCTATTATGTCTATCAAGCTGTCCACGTGTTAGCGGCGAGCATTTCGTCTGATGGGCAATGAGTGAGTGAGTGTGGTTGACATGTGAGGATATATTTCAGTCATATCATGATATGTGAGCATGAAGTGGGAGCAAGCCGTGTAAAAAATGACATGTACACAAACTGCTGGGGTCCGATGATACAGAAGCTAGACAACCGACAGCATCTTTCTGACTCCTCTTTCAGGGTTTCCAGTTTACTGTGAATCTGTCACCGGGTTCTCCACGGGGCTTATTTCCTGCAGCCTTATCCACAAACCACACAGACATAAAATATTTTATTCATATTTCATTCGTTGCGTACAAATAATTTTACATGTGATCTCGTACGCCAGTACTCACATGGACCAACATCCACACATTTTGAAACTGATGACACTTTGTGTTCTCACACTGGTAAAAAAATACATGTACGGTTGACGGTTTATACATTCTCCATTTCCCTGGGACAATGATGCTCAGCACCAGTCAGTCAACACCCGGTGTTAACTTAGACGATTCAGATAAAGACTTGTTACACTACATCATAGTCTGCATGCACTCTAGACCGCCCTGCCAATACCACATGTCACTGGTCATGTTACACTTGGACATCCATGGCGGAGCGGTCTGGTCGGTGTATTACAGTATCCACAATACCACCGTGCATGAACAAGGCCTATCATGTGAATCGTAGCTGACGTTGAAGTGGATGATGATACGGACGTTGATCCAACCAAGGTACGATGGCACCCCAGTGCTGCAGCATTGGGAGTAGTCTCCCTTGGTGCTGCCACCATTGTGAGTAGTCTCCCTTGGTGCTGCCAGCATTGAGAACAGTTTCCCTTGAGTACCTCTCTCAGCGTTGAATTGCTGACTCCGCGTCCTACCCAACAATCGTTAACAATATGTTCTATACATTTACCCCTACATAGTAAAACATCTCTATAAAGATTATTACAATCTTACAAAGAAATATCTCCCATGGTACTAGGTATTTATGAAAATAGGCATTTTTTGTCAATGGTAGGACAATCACACAACTGTCTCATTCTTTGGTTAAATCAGATAATCATAACATATGTTCCAGACACAGGATGTCACGTACAACCCTCTGATGATTAGATGGACATGGTTCTACTATCTGAACAATCACACCACATCACTGTGTCCGACTTACCCTTCGTTGTGACAGTTTGTACAATATAATGTAACGTAAGGAAATATATATTTGTAAAAAAGCATGACTAAAAAAGATAAAAAGAGGTTTGAACCTGTTTCACATCAAACAAGTTAACGGTTTCTTCTGCAATTATTGCTACCATGGATAACGAGACACTTGACCAGGCTAACAGCAGACTGTGACGACACAAACTCCTCCACGGCGACAGCGACAGTCATCCGCTGTCCCCGAACACTACAGGTTGACACGTGAAGCCTCAGCCGATATGCCCCAGTTTATCCATTTAAGAATCAGAGTTATGCCCCTTTACACTGATGCCTACAAGCTCCTCCCCAGCGCGTGACACCTTCGTGACACCCTCGTAACATCGCTGCCACCAGTGTTGGCGCGGCCATTACAACAATCTTGAAATTTGCCCTCTAACCTAAAATGTAGTAATGTTTATACTATCGGGAATGCTCTCATAGTGAATTTTGAAAATGTTAATGACTGAACATATATCCCAGATGAGTTTAACATTTTGTTTGTATGATCGGATTGGTTCGAGATTGCAGACGAACGGAAAATCACCAAACTTCCCCGTTACATTCTTACATTTAATTACATGATAGCTGTAATGAAACGGAAATTCAAATTGACAAACAAAGAAAATATGTAAGCTGGGGTAAGAGTATTCGGCGTCACGGCAGTCATCACTTGTTTGTAAACATAACGGTCAGTCAGCAGCGAGTTCAACTCCAAGCATGGTTGTGGCCACCTATCACAGTGGGAGCTTTGACTGGTGGCAGCGATAGTTTCGAGAGCTCCGCTAACGGGCTATCGCTGTGAGGGGCATGAGGTGCCTTTAGGGATTGTGTATTTTATAGATTGAACCTTTTCTAGTTATAACAGATACAGCATATGGTTATCGTGTTTCTAGTCCAGATTACGTAGCGAGTACAATTCCATACTGTAAACTGTTCGTGTTACGGTACATGCTCTGTTTCAACCAGGCAGTAAGACAATGAGAACTGTAAGTTGGGAGTATATGAGAAGACATGAGTATATGGGCGTACATGTATATGGATGACATGGTATATCTAACGGTCAAAAACAGGAAACAGTGCAGATACTTTCACATCTTACTGAGGTCTTCAGGCTGCTTGGCTCATTAACGACTATCTTCAGATTGTTATCAGACGCGGGTGAAGCAACGTAACGTCATATTACCGCGTTGTCTCAAACGTTTGGAGATCAGACATTATTCTGACGGTTGTAAGTTCTGACAATGTTTTAACAATATATTAAAGTTTCAAATTGTGATTTGGAAATCCACAATTTTCTTCATTTTCTCATGAACACAGCATCACCGATAATCTGACCAGCATGAAAAAAATCTAAAGTCCCCCTTTAGACCTCACATTCTAACAATATTAATCATCTCGGGACAGATAGGTCGCTCAAGGTCATTCCCTAATAATCTACCACACAAGACCATTGCAACATATCAAGATGTTCATATCAACATAAACGCTTCATATATATATGTATATATATTATTTTCGTGTCGCTGGCGTACAAGTGTATTGGAGAATGGTACATCCGGGTATGATGAAATATACACAAAGATGAATTTTGCTGAGATCACGCGTTGTGTTGGCATCATGTTTCCCATTCAGAAAATACAGTCACACCTTAAAAACACATTTGATCCGTATCTGATGACATGCATATACATATTCTTGAAATAATTACAACAAAATATGCCATATAAAATTTGGAATAAACAGTCGGCAGACTTTAGAAACGTGACACAGGACGTCTTCAGCCAGCCCCAGAGGGAACACCCTGAGACCCGCAGGCGGTACCTCAGGACAATGTGATACGAGTATTGTCATGGAAACAATAACACAACTAGTTCGCACAGGAAATGTGGTATTGAAAGATGTTGATTATACGGAAAGGACATGTTACATAAGTCATCTTCATAAAACTGTTTTTGCCCTACCATTATGGAAGACACACGATATAGAACACAAATAAATCTAAATCCATGTAGGCATATTTGCATCAAGTCTACTGATAAAGTCCAACTGCGATAAACCAAAACCTATTTCGAATTGTTCCATTAAATGAAATCAGGCCCTTATTGGGCACATGTTACGTCGGTTTTTAAGTTGGCAGTTTGGTCAGGTTTTGCACAACAAAAAAAATGTATTGCACTGCGTTTCCTACACATTTACGTACCTACTGATGGCCACTAGGTAAGTTATTTCAGCTCATGAATTTATTCGATGTTCAATTTTTTAATATTATATAACGTGCTAATGAGCCTAGCATACGAAGGTATCTCTCAGACATAATTAAATATCTAACTTATGGAGTTGAAATAGTTTGTAGCATATTCAATTACATTGTATTATTATCGTTAATTTTGGAGAAAAAAACCAAAACATGTCTTTATGCTAAACTTCACGAAGTCTGAATTGCATATGCATACTGTACAAACAAAGGTTAAATCATTAATAACATGACATGTCTTCGACTCACAATGCAGGCACATCGTCCATAGATATATCACAAGATGCCCGGGCCAACACAGGTGCAAGTCATCACAGTCAGGTTCCCAGAAAGGAAAACAACATGGATCCCGGTGTAATTGGTGATCTTCCTCGACATTGTTCTGTTACTCCTGACATGTCTTTACAGGAAATAATATGGCGTCCACTGAGCGCCTTGTGGGGATGTGAGACAATGTCCGTTCATAATTAGTATGACTATTTGCAACTAGATTGACCGACATAAAACAGACAGAGGAAATACTTCAGCGGCTGGTTCACGGGTGCTGGGACAACTAATTAGCACGTGGTAGCCCTCCTTGACCCAGGGACCCAGGGGCAACCACTCACAATCCTGCTGTTGTGGAGTTCCGCTCCTTAATGAGTGGGCGTGGTGGTTATTGAACAAAGATCGCACGACCCCAAGGATCTCATTAACCATGAATGTGGCTCCTATTGGAATCTTTATTTAAAGTTGATGGGGTCCACCCTCAGCAGTAAGTCAGGAACCTCGTCAGATGACACGCTGAACAGTTCTTTGTTGGATGCCTTCGTGGTTTCGTCCTCAAATGCCGAACTTCCAAACACCTCGTCGTAGAAGTAACCGTCTTCCGCTTGTTCACGGTCGTGATCGTGGTCGTGGTCGTCTGCGATGGCGAACATGTCACCGTCTGTGACGCGAGGCATGGCGTCCACCGATTCCGTGTCGTCTGGTTCGAGCGGGCGACGGCTGCTGGAAGTTGATGACCTTCGAGGGCGACCCCTGGCGGTGAACCATTTCAACCTCCTGGAAAAGATGAGCCCCATGTTAAGTCGAATGTTCGAATTATCATTATGTGGCAAGTGTACATCGACAATTAGCAGGAGGACTTGTGCGTGTAAATAAAAACGACAAAGCCCTTTCCATAATCATAAATGATTCCGACCATATCATAAACATGTGTTTATAATGCAGTGTCAAATAGGGATGACACCACGTGTTCGCGAGAAGGTGGGCGCATCTTGCCATACCGATGACACCCATCACAAACACATGCAAAGGCAAGTAAACTGTTTACCTGAAGGTAGAGCATTGCAACGGACACCAACGTTTGAAAACGTTTGGAAGCTTCATAGGGGCCAAGTTTTCAAGTATCCAAGCATCCGATCTACCTCATCTAACATAGACATAGAGATAGACACAGTGTCCAAGTATCCGATCTACCTCATCTAACATAGACATAGACATAGACATAGACATAGACATAGACATAGACATGAACACAGTGGTCAAGTCTCCGATCTACCTTATCTAACATAGACATAGACATATACATAGACATGGACACAGTGTTCAAGTCTCCGATCTACCTTATCTAACATAGACATAGACATATACATAGACATGGACACAGTGTTCAAGTCTCCGATCTACCTTATCTAACATAGACATAGACATAGACATAGACATGGACACAGTGTTCAAGTATCCGATCTACCTTATCTCACAAAGACATAGAGATAGACACAGTGTCCACGTATCCGATCTACCTTATCTAACATAGACATAGACATAGACACAGTGTCCAAGTATCCGATCTACCTTATCTAACATAGACATAGACATAGACACAGTGTCCAAGTATCCGATCTACCTTATCTAACATAGACATAGACATAGACATAGACATGGACACAGTGTTCAAGTCACCGATCTACCTTATCTAACATAGACATAGACATAGACACAGTGTCCAAGTATCCGATCTACCTTATCTAACATAGACATAGACATAGACATAGACATAGACATGGGCACAGTGTTCAAGTCACCGATCTACCTTATCTAACATAGACATAGACATAGACACAGTGTCCAAGTATCCGATCTACCTTATCTAACATAGACATAGACATATACATAGACACAGTGTCCAAGTCCCCGATCTACCTTATCTAACATAGACATAGACATGGACACAGTGTTCAAGTCTCCGATCTACCTAACCTAACATAGACATAGACATAGACATAGACATGGACACAGTGTCCAAGTATCCGATCTACCTTATCTCACAAAGACATAGACATAGACACAGTGTCCAAGTCTCCGATCTAAATTATATCTCAAAGACATAGACACAGTGTCCAAGTCTCCGATCTATCTTATTTCACAAAGACATAGAGATAGACACAGTGTCCAAGTATCCGATCTACCTTATCTAACATAGACATAGACATAGACACAGTGTCCAAGTCTCCGATCTACCTTATCTAACAAAGACATAGACATAGACACAGTGTCCAAGTATCCGATCTACCTTATCTCACAAAGACATAGAGATAGACACAGTGTCAAAGTATCCGATCTACCTTATCTAACATAGACATAGACATAGACACAGTGTCCAAGTCTCCGATCTACCTTATCTAACATAGACATAGACATATACATAGACATAGACACAGTGTCCAAGTCTCCGATCTACCTTATCTAACATAGACATAGACATAGACACAGTGTCCAAGTATCCGATCTACCTTATCTAACAAAGACATAGACATAGACACAGTGTCCAAGTCTCCGATCTACCTTATCTAACATAGACATAGACATATACATAGACATAGACACAGTGTCCAAGTATCCGATCTACCTTATCTAACATAGACATAGACATAGACACAGTGTCCAAGTCTCCGATCTACCTTATCTAACATAGACATAGACATATACATAGACATGGACACAGTGTTCAAGTCTCCGATCTACCTTATCTAACATAGACATAGACATAGACACAGTGTCCAAGTATCCGATCTACCTTATCTAACATAGACATAGACATAGATACAGTGTCCAAGTCTCCGATCTACCTTATATCTCAAAGACATAGACACAGTGTCCAAGTCTCCGATCTACCTTATTTCACAAAGACATAGACATAGACACAGTGTCCAAGTATCCGATCTACCTTATCAAACATAGACATAGACATAGACACAGTGTCCAAGTCTCCGATCTACCTTATCTAACATAGACATAGACATAGACACAGTGTCCAAGTATCCGATCTACCTTATCTCACAAAGACATAGAGATAGACACAGTGTCAAAGTATCCGATCTACCTTATCTAACATAGACATAGACATAGACACAGTGTCCAAGTCTCCGATCTACCTTATCTAACATAGACATAGACATATACATAGACATAGACACAGTGTCCAAGTCTCCGATCTACCTTATCTAACATAGACATAGAGATAGACACAGTGTCCAAGTCTCCGTTCTACCTTATCTAACATAGAGATAGACACAGTGTCCAAGTCTCCGATCTACCTTATCTAACATATACATAGACATAGACACAGTGTCCAAGTATCCGATCTACCTTATCTAACATAGACATAGACACAGTGTCCAAGTCTCCGATCTACCTTATATATCAAAGACATAGACACAGTGTCCAAGTCTCCGATCTACCTTATTTCACAAAGACATAGAGATAGACACAGTGTCCAAGTATCCGATCTACCTTATCTAACATAGACATAGACATAGACACAGTGTCCAAGTCTCCGATCTACCTTATCTAACATATACATAGACATAGACACAGTGTCCAAGTCTCCGATCTACCTTATCTCACAAAGACATAGAGATAGACACAGTGTCCAAGTATCCGATCTACCTTATCTAACATAGACATAGACATAGACACAGTGTCCAAGTCTCCGATCTACCTTATCTAACATAGACATAGACATATACATAGACATAGACACAGTGTCCAAGTATCCGATCTACCTTATCTAACATAGACATAGAGATAGACACAGTGTCCAAGTCTCCTATCTACCTTATCTCACAAAGACATAGACACAGTGTCCAAGTCTCCGATCTACCTTATCTCACAAAGACATAGACACAGTGTCCAAGTCTCCTATCTACCTTATCTCACAAAGACATAGACACAGTGTCCAAGTATCCGATCTACCTTATCTCACATGGATATAGATATAGACACAGTGTCCAAGTCTCCGATCTACCTTATCTAACATAGACATAGACATAGACACAGTGTCCAAGTCTCCGATCTACCTTATCTCACAAAGACATAGACATAGACACAGTGTCCAAGTCTCCGATCTACCTTATCTAACATAGACATAGACATATACATAGACATAGACACAGTGTCCAAGTCTCAGATCTACCTTATCTCACAAAGACATAGACATAGACACAGTGTCCAAGTCTCCGATCTACCTTATCTAACATATACATAGACATAGACACAGTGTCCAAGTCTCCGATCTACCTTATCTAACAAAGACATAGAGATAGACACAGTGTCCAAGTCTCCGCACGACCTTATCTAACAAAGACATAGACATAGACACAGTGTCCAAGTCTCCGATCTACCTTATCTAACATATACATAGACATAGACACAGTGTCCAAGTCTCCAATCTACCTTATCTAACATATACATAGACATAGACACAGTGTCCAAGTCCCCGATCTACCTTATCTAACAAACACATAGAGATAGACACAGTGTCCAAGTCTCCGATCTACCTTATCTAACAAAGACATAGAGACAGACACAGTGTCCAAGTCTCCGATCTACCTTATCTCAGGTAGGCATACACATGGACACAGTGTCCAAGTCTCCGATCTACCTGATCTAACATATACATAGACATAGACACAGTGTCCAAGTCTCCGATCTACCTCATCTAACAAAGACATAGACATAGACACAGTGTCCAAGTCTCCGATCTACCTTATCTAACATAGACACAGACAAAGACACAGTCTCCAAGTCTCCGATCTACCTCATCTAACAAAGACACAGACATAGACACAGTGTCCAAGACTCCGATCTACCTTATCTAACATAGAGATAGACACAGTGTCCAAGTATCCGATCTACCTTATCTAACAAAGACATAGACATATACACAGTGTCCAAGTCTCCGATCTACCTTATCTAACAAAGACATAGAGATAGACACAGTGTCCAAGTCTCCGCACGACCTTATCTAACAAAGACATAGACATAGACACAGTGTCCAAGTCTCCGATCTACCTTATCTAACATATACATAGACATAGACACAGTGTCCAAATCTCCGATCTACCTTATCTAACATATACATAGACATAGATATAGACACAGTGTCCAAGTCTCCGATCTACCTTATCTAACATAGACATAGAGATAGACACAGTGTCCAAGTCTCCGATCTACCTTATCTAACAAAGACATAGAGACAGACACAGTGTCCAAGTCTCCGATCTACCTTATCTCAGATAGGCATACACATGGACACAGTGTCCAAGTCTCCGATCTACCTTATCTAACATATACATAGACATAGACACAGTGTCCAAGTCTCCGATCTACCTCATCTAACAAAGACATAGACATAGACACAGTGTCCAAGTCTCCGATCTACCTTATCTAACATAGACACAGACATAGACACAGTGTCCAAGTCTCCGATCTACCTCATCTAACAAAGACACAGACATAGACACAGTGTCCAAGACTCCGATCTACCTTATCTAACATAGAGATAGACACAGTGTCAAAGTATCCGATCTACCTTATCTCACAAAGACATAGACATTTACACAGTGTCCAAGTCTCCGATCTACCTTATCTAACATAGACATAGACATAGACATAGACATAGACACAGTGTCCAAGTCTCCGATCTACCTTATCTAACAAAGACATAGACATAGACACAGTGTCCAAGTCTCCGATCTACTTTATCTTACATATACATA